CATTGCTTGAGGCCAGGAGTTGGAGACCAGCCTGGGCAATAACTCCAGACTGTCTTTACAAAAAATGTTAAAAACACACCCAATAGTCCAGCATGCTGGCATGCACCTGTAATCTCATCTACTTGGGAAGCTGAGACAGAAGGATCCTTTGAACCTAGGAGTTCAAGGCTGCAGTGAGCTATGATTGCTCCAGCTTGGTGACAGAGTGAGCACCTGTCTAAAAATAAATGAATAAAATTGGAAAATATAAAATAAACTAGAAAACCCTGCATTGATTCTTACCCATGTGTGCCTTTCGGTTCTCCCATGCCGAGACCACCAGCCTTACATCTCCACGAGGAGGCTGCTGGCAAGACGCAGCACAGCCTGGTACTGGAGGGGCCTGAGTCAGACAGAGCCACTTTCACCCCACCTCTGATTCCTGCTCAGCTACCATGAGAAGTGGGAACGTATCTGAATATCTGAGCTACCATTTGGTTTTCTCTTGTGTGCGTGAAAGGAGCCACAACTGGTTGCCTTGTAGCTTTGCATAAAATCCTGATTTATCTCCATTTTAGGGTTAAGAAATACTCCAGCCCAAACTGAATATAATCTTTAATCCTTGTTGTAATATCTTTCTGACTTTATCAGTAATTACGGTGCAGTTCCCACAGTTCAATATCCCTTGTGTCTGGGAAGCACAGAAGAACATAAAATGGAATTAAAGTCAAGATTTTGCTCCCTCTTACTGAACTGCACTAGAGTAATATAAAGACTGAATATTTCCCTGCAGTTACCAGTATCTGTCTAAGGAAATAACACTGAATTCCTCCTTTACTCTAAAGAAAAGCCACTGTGAGGGCTGCAAACAACTAAAGACAGAGAAGGGGATTTAAGTAGAACCTAATCTTACTTAGACAAATATTAGGCTTCATATCCTGCCATGCACACGTGTCAAAAGGCAGCACCGTCTTTAAAACACGAATGCAAATTGAACATACTTATCTCAAGTTCACAGTGCAAAAGGATTATCATCTTTAATCTGAATGTTGAGGGTTAATTAAAGTAGATTTTGCCTTAAGAGAGGGACAGATATGGCCAACTTATGAAATGATAAGTGAATGCATTTTTTTCAGCATCACAGAGTGTTTCCATTGTATAGGTTTATGTGATTTTAAAGATTCAGCTTTTTGATGTGAAATAAGGTGGTGAGTTCCACTATTTCTCTTCGACTGAATCTTTGTTAAAGCAATATTAGGTTCCCAATACTCTCTCCAGAATGATGGGATCAGCATAGCAACAGTGATTTATGGGTTGGTGGCTTTATTCTGGGCAGTTTATCCACCTATCATGTATCAAGAGACCAAGGGGTTGCAAACACAGCAAAAGAATTATTTGTACAGACCTGACAGCACAGGGAGGCTTGACATGAAGGTTCTGCCACCTTCTGCTGGGACAGTTAGGAGGCACTCTGAAGTCTTTTAGGTAATACTGTGCCACTAATGAGCTGGGGAGTGAAGGATCCAGTTTGCTATGAACATTTGCCATGGCCAGAAAGAATCTGTTGCTAGTAGCCATTCTTTTCAGTCAATCTCTCATTCATTCATTCTTCAGCAGATATTCATTCAAAGCCCATATGAAAGACATTATTCTAAGGGCAGAAGATATAGCAATGGCAAATAAGGTCCCCATTTTTATGGTACTTATAATCTAATGGGAGGAAATAATAATGCCTTCATCATCAATATGCACAAAATAGCTGGGTGCAGTGGCCATGCCTGTAAACCTAGCACTCTGGGAGGCTGAGGTGGGTGGACTGCCTGAGCTCAGGAGTCTAAGACTAGTCTGAGCAAGAGCAAGACCCCCATCTCTAAAAATAGCCAGGCATTAGGACGGGCGCCTTTAAGTCCCAGCTACTCGGGAGGCTGAGACAAGAAGATCACATTAGCCCAAGAGTTTGAGGTTGTTGTGAGCTATGATGCCTCGGATCTCTACCGAGGGCAACAAAGTGAGACTATGTCTCAAAAAAATGCACAAAATAGTATATAAGTTAGTGTATTCACAAGCCGGAAATATGTTGACAGTGGTCACTGTGATGCAGACAAATGCAGTAGTATGGCACAATGTTTGAGTGAGTTTGCAAGGCTTCTCTGCAGAGGTGACATTTATGATGCGATTTGATACTAAATGCAAAGGCAGTGAGTGGTGGGCATTCACGTGGACCCAAGACTTGTTTGTGCCAGTAGACCTAGAAAGATCTGTTTCTGCAGTGGTCCAAACTCAGTAAGTGATTCTTCTGAGCTAGGACAGTGAGTCTCTAGAACACCTTTGTTTATATAAAAAGTTGTTCTTTATATTTAATACAGTGAAGCCATCAGCCATCCCCTTAGTAGGAGTTCAGATGGGTTACCCAGTCATCTGGTAGTATGAAAGGTACAGAAGAGATCTCGGAAGGCTGCCTGGAGAGACAGGCAGGACGGGTTGCGTGTTACTAATGGGGACAGGGGTTGGGGGACAGGCCTGTGGGGCCCCAGCTCTGGCTGCCGGGTGAAAACTCTTTTCCCTGTTGCTTACACCACCACCTCCTCTCCAACTTCCTCTGCTTCGACAGCTGCTTATGAATGCACCCTCAGCCCTTCCCCCAAAGCAGGCTTTTCTGGCTCACACAGAGTGGGTTATAAAAATGGCTTAAAATCAAAAGGTGGCAGGTGCCAGCTTCCAAGCTTCAGTCCTGTGGGGGTAGGGTATTATGAAGTGGTCATGAAAGAAGGCAAGGTGATAGCACCCCATGCCTGAGGTTTTTATCTATGTACTTGGTGGCTGATCTTCTAGGGGGTAGCATACCAGGGATCCACCTTTTAAAATGGTGGTGTCTGGGGGAGATAAAGAACCCCTGTCACCAGGAATATATTCGGATAGAAACTCTCCCAAGAATTACAGAATCAGAGAGTTACAGAAGCCTTCTTTAGTCTGAATATTGGAAGCCTAGAAGGGGTCTACTCAATGAAAAGGCTGCATCAGTGGCCTGGAAGGGAGCTATTTGCAGGCTGAAATCAGCTACCAGCAGGTTCAGCAGCAGCAGAAAGATGAAAATGCAGCAGGGGGCGGGAACTACAGAAAGGTAGAGTGGAAAGCATCCAGGAGAGACACCTGCAGGTGGCAGAGAGAGCAAGGTCACAAAAATGTGTAGCAAAGACAGAAGAGCTCATAGCAGAATAATGTCTCTGAGGTTTCTGCAACATCCTGAAGAGAGAAAGAGTGGGGCCCAGGGCTTGTGAGCCTAGAACTCTCCCTGGCTGCCAATGGTGCCTCTCAAGAAAGACCTGAGAGTCATCACCAGGGCAGCCTGCCGGTGACTTAGCATTTTATGTTTAACTAAATTGGTTGCCAAATTCTGGTTCATTTACATATTAGGTGGAGACAGGACTCAGGTGATCACTTGTTTATATAATAAAGAAATGTGAGGAGGCATTTCCTGGAGCAGAACTGTCTGAATCCACGTGTCCCTGCAGGCTGTGTGCTGACCTGGCTGCTGCTCAGGCAAGGTCAAGCTTGCCCACTCTCATTAATGTACAGAGAGAAAAGCAGATGCTATTGTTTCTGTGGAAGGGAGTGTTAAGGATGACCTTCTGAGCAATACAAAGGTGCATTTGCTCTTCTTCATTCCTATTGTACAAGGATTTGCATGGACAGGTATTCTGACAGATGCGAGTAGTCAAGGATAGTAGTTCTACAATTAATCGCTTTTTATGAACTGTAACTTTTTTCTAAAATGTTTTCTTAAAATGTTACCACATACATTTTGTTTATACTGTGTATATTAGAATGGATGGCCCATAAAGACAAACATTGGAATTAAAATTCCACCGGTGATAACATAAAGCTTTATCATCCTATAATTCTTCACTACCTCTTAGTTTTCTCCGGGTGCCAGGACACTGTACTCCCGTGGTGCACTGTCACCTTCACTTTCCACATTTAACTGTGGTGCCCCCATCTGGGTCTACCCTCTTTCTTTGTCATCTCACCCACTGCTTGATTTTAAACACCGGCTATATCCAAACACTTACCATTTTACTTCTCTCATTCAAACATCTCACCCAAACTCCAGATTCATAAATTTGCCTGCTTTCTCGGCCTCCATTTGGATGCCTACTCTCCCAATTTTGGCTTAAATTTTCTCTATCCCAGTTATGATAACCTTATCCCGTCAGCTGTGTTTAGGCCATAAATCTGGGAGTCATATTTAACCCTTTCTCCCCAAATTCACAGCAAATTGTCAACAACAGTTGGGCATTGTCCACAGAGTGTTCCCAGAATGTCACTGCTTATCACCAGTAGGCTCCTCCAGCTCAGCAGCCTCCCTGATTCTCTTAAAACCAGGCAGATCCAGTCATCTCTCTAGCCCAAGGCCTCCAGTGGCTTCCTGTATCACTCAGAGTGGAAGTCACAGGTCTCACAGTGACCCACAGGGTCTGCAGGTCTTCTCCTACCATTGTCCAGCCTGCTGTCGCCCTTTCTAGCCGCGCCAGCACACTCTGTATGCTCTTGCTGTGTGGCCTTAGATTTGCATTTGTCAAAATGCTCTTCCCTCCACATTCCTCCTGGCACTTTCTCATTCCACCCTTCCCTGACCGTGCTAATTAAAATTATGACTAATGGACTATTTTAGGAATATTTTGGTTCCATCCTGTCTCAATAAATTGAATTGTGAATAGAAAATAACAGCCACTACCAGAATAAAGAAAACTGAGCTTGCTGTTAAGTCCTGGCCACAGCAGCAATAGGTAGTGACCTTGGACAGCTTGCTTTTGACCCTTGAGACTTGGTTTCCTCATTTGCATAATGGGAATAATGTCCTGTCTACTCACAAAAGACAATGTATATTATAAACCATTATAAAGCATGCATTATAATACTTTCAACTCAAAGTAATACAGAGCTGAACTCTCACTTCTCCTGAGTAGTGAAAGCATCGTCATGAAAGAGAACTTGACCCTGCATACTCGGGACAAACGTACCTTTCAGACCACAAAGTCCACACATGGCTGCAAACACAGTAGACTCCATTTCAATATTCCTTACGCCAGCTCTATATGCTCTCTTCAAGTAATCCAACTTTTTTTCTCTGGAAAAGGAGCACAATGCTCCATCTAACCGACCTTGACCTGCAGGAGAATGGAGAACATTAGTGAGTTGATGTCCTACCACAGCAGCAGTGATGTCGCCAAGAGGCTTGTGTTGGCCGAAAAGCCAACAGGAGGCTGCCTCTAAGTCTTGAGCTGCTCCCAGGATAGGAATCTTCCTGAATCTTCCTGTCAGAGGGGTGGAGCAAGGCTAAGGGGTGTCCCTGGCTGAGTGCTCCAGCTCTGGGGCCAGTAACCAACATTGGCTGCAGCCACCAGCACTGTGCCCCCGGGATTTCATGACCTGGCGGTCTCTGAGAGAGCTGCCCTTTGAGGAGAATCTCAGGTTGCTCCAGTGACTGGGGGTGGCCCAGGGACAGGTGCCGGGAGGAACAGGAGAGGCTTTCAGGCTTGGTGATGCTCTTGAACCACTTGTGATGGGACTGTGGTTCGGTCACTGCAGCTCTCCACATGACTGTGGTGACAGAGGCAGCCACACACAGACCGCAGGGTGGGGTCCCCCTCCCCCCTTCCTGTCCCTCGGGCTGTGTGCCACCCTTAGTGATCGTGTCTCCTTTCCAGGCTGCCCCCGGTTCATTTATCACTTAACTGCACCTGTATTGACCAGTGGGGACAGAAGGATGAAGAAACTCCTAACACCCTTACTCCCCCTGGACTCCTTGTGCCGCCAGAAACCGACCCCCTTTCCCCTGCCTGCTGCTGAGAGGGCGGGATCCGAGCGGGTGAGCTGACAACACCCCGTCTCTCTCCATCACTCACACAAGGCTCTCGGGGGCTCTCTCCTGTCTTTTTCTCCCTTTCCTTTATTTCTTTCACACTACTTTCACCCTAGCAGTCTATTTCTCCTTGATCCTTCTGCTCTGTAGAGCTGCCTGCCGATACCGCTAACAGTGTAATTTAAGCTGATGTGAACACAGATGTCCCGGAAGCCAAGCAGGTCACGTCAACGGAGGCTGCCTGGTCCGACAGGAGCAGCCCCGCTGTGCCTTCAGCAAATGGAGACCTCGTTATTCCGAAAAGTCAGAAATCTGGATTTTCATATGAAATCTCCAGAAATTATAAATGTGGGCAAAATAATTTGCATTTGAAAAAGTACTGTGCAGGCCAGAGGAAACGCTGGCTCCAACAAGCTGCCCTTTGCAAGCTCCTCTTGAGCACAGGGTGGGTGACTCTCCAGATGAGGGGCCTGTGCACCGGCCTGGGACTGAGGGGCTCAACCCTGGCAGACCCAATACCCCTCTTACTTTGTAACAAATACGTAATGAAACCGTGTTTACTAACCTGAACTAAAATTCACAGATGATATAACCTACCTCAGTACATAATTTTTAAAAATTCAATAGTATACCTTAAGTTTGATCCAAAGGGAAAATAAAATTTATAATAAAATAATGAAATAATATGGATCTTGAGATGAACAAAATTACACTGCAAGATTTCCAGAAGGCTCCTCATGGCATGGCACCAACCCTGTGTAGATTTCTTCTGCTAGAAGGAGCCAGGTCTGTTCTTGAAGGTATATACAAGAGCACCCACTTAAAAGTCACCTTCAATTTATCTCTGAACTATTTGGGGACCCTTTACTCATGGCTGAGAGATAAATGCACCACTGGGAGACAATCTCATCCCTGTGGGATCTGTTTTCCCAAACATTTCTTATTTCCTAGTCCCCGCTCTTTCCTAGGGATCAAGTCCCTTGTGAGGTACAGGTGAATGTCGGAAACAGAATCAGCACGTTTCCCTTCTCTCAGAGCCGCCAATTTGACTCAGAGGCATAAACAGAGATAAAATTCCACCAACATCGCTAATTGCATTTTAGTATTCAATTTGCTCCTGGAGGTTAAACCTACTCTCAGTATAAATTCATTCTGGGTGCCTTTCTGCTGCTTATTATGTCCTTATGGTCTTATGATTTAGTAAGTCAAAAAGGTTATTTCAGTTCCTTTTTAAATCCACAACTATTAGTTTTCTAAAGTGGAGTTTTTAATATAAATTATGGGTTTGAATAACAAAGAGTTGCTGGCAATTTTCTGTTGCCTTCAGAGTTTATAAATTATTCTCACCTTCATAAAAATCATAGGTACACATTGTATGTCCAATGAGGGTTGGGAAGTTGGAGATTTCTTTGCTACAGTTGAGTAGTTCTTCAGCCAGGTCCTTGTCAAGTTCAGTACTACGGGTGACAATGTTATCCAAGATCACCTGTTCAAACTGGGGCTTGAAGAAGGAGTCTACAGCTGTATCTGTTATTACTACAGTCCCAGGCACAATCCCTGCAATGTGGGAATAAATAAGTGATTATAGGAGAATACAATTTAGAGTTTACTTTTGACACATAGTATGCAATCTATTCTGACAACATTAATTAACACTGGCTGCTAATGATTCCCCTTATTTTCAACTTTAAAACTATTTTCTTTCCCAAATGCCATTAAATAACATTCTGAACAGGCATTTACATTTGCTGTCTTTCTAGAGTCACATTTACAATGTGATGGGGTTTAAATTTCAAGACAAACATGATTCTTTGGCATGCAAATTAGCACCAGCCTTCGGGCTCAAATTTGAATAAATTAGGTCAGGAATAAACTAAATGAGCCTGCCAGCAAGGAGCTTTCATAAAGTGACGTGACTTCTTAATATTTAATCTTCTCTGTAACTCCTTGATTACTATAATTTCTTTGCATCTCTATCCTCTTTTTCTTCTGATTCTTGTCACATTCGTTCCCTCCCCTCCCTGACTCCATGTAAATTAGGCCTCTTGGCTGACCCTCCACTGCTACAAAGTCTGGCTTCTCAAGGGACTGGGGCTGACTCAGGAAACCACTTTCTGCCTGCTGTCATCCTCTCTGCCTGGGATGCCCGCTCATCCTCCCCCACGCCTCTTCATCAGACTAACACCAACTCATTCTTCAAGTGTCAGCGTAAGTCACCTTCTGCAGAAGGTCCAAATCCACGGAGGGGAACAAACAAGTGCAAAAGTGAAAAGGCAACACAGATAGGTTACATTAAATTTCCCCAGGCCCGGCTCTGACCTAGCTTTTAACTCAGTCTGATTTCTATGTAGAGGATAAATAAGAAGATACAAGAAGATAGTGCTCTACCCTTTCTCTGTTCTAACATTTGTTGCATCTTTTATAATTACCACCTTTGTTTTTCTATTACTCTGACAGACTATAAGCACCATAAAGGCAAGAACAACCTCTGTCTGCTGCAGTCCCCTAGTCCACTGCTGTACCTGCCACATTCAGTACAGGTACTCAATAAAAATTTGGGGAATGAGTGAATGATTCTATAGAGATGCCATAGAACATAGGTCTGTAAACTATAGTCCATAAGCCAAATCCCATTTGTCTTTGTAAATAAAGTTTTATTGGAACACAGCCACTCACACATACTGTTGATAGCTGCATCCAAGCTACAGTGGCAGAGTTGAGAAGTTGCAATGGAAAACACATGCTCTGAAAAGCCTAAAATATTTCCTATCTGGCCCTTTATAGAAAAGATTTGCCAATCCCTTGTATAGAGCTAAGTTTATCCTTCTGGGTGGTAGAAATTTTGATACTGATCAGAGTAGAATTAATTACAAAACACTTTAGAAGATCCAGCTAGCAATCCAAAGTGGCTTCTGATGATAGAGCTTTGATGGGTCAAAATACTTTTTAAATAAGCCAAATGAGGTATGCATCAAAAATGATGTTATTCACATACTATCCTAATATTTAGATGCATTAGAGCACTGATGTCATAGTTAAAGACTCTCAAAGACCAATAGAACTATTTATCAAGTACTTTATC